TGCTCTCAGAAGTCTGCCTGGGTGTGCCCCATGGTCTTTGGGCTGGGGGATGGGTTGCACATGCACAGGGGAGATTCTTTAGGGTATATCAGAGTGTGACTAAGAGCTAAGCAGCACACCAGAAGTTGCACATGGCTTGGAGGTATTAAGGTTTCAGCCTTGCAATAGTGATGAGCTCTCACTGAACATCTAGGTACTTAAATGATTTCCCAGAAAGCCCATAGTTTAGGAGTAAGGACATGTTCTGAAACATGGAAATGTCAATGAAAACAACAGTGTGATACACACCTATTCTTATGGTCAAAATTCCAGAATGCTTATACTCTCCCAGAATCTGCACAAAGATGTTTACAGTAGTTTTCTTCATAATTGCCAGAATGTGGAAGCAACCAAAATGTCCTTTAGTAGGTGAATTGATAAATAGTCTGTTCCATTCAGATAATGGGTATCATTCAATGTTCAAAAGAAATGAGCCATTAAGCCATGAAAAGACACCAAGGAACCTTAAATATATATTACTAAGTGAAAGAAGCTCGTTTAAAAAGCTGAATTCTGTATGATTTCAACAATATGGCAATCTGGAAAAGGGAAAACTAAGGAGATAGTAAAAAGATCAATGGTTTCCAGCAGCTGAGAGGGAGGGAGAAATAAACATTTAGAGCATAAAGGAGGTTTAGGGTGGTGAAACTACACTGTACAATACTAGAGTGGTAGATGCATGTTATAATAAATGTTTCCAAACCCACCACCACCAATGAATATAAACTGTAGACTTTAGGTGATAATGATGTGTCAATGCAGGTTATAAACTGTAACAAATGTGCCATTCTGGTTGGGAATATTTATAATGGGAAGGTTATCTATCTGTGTGTGTGTGGCTATATGGGACCACTGTACTTTTCATTCAGTTTTGCTGTGAACACAACAGTGTTCTAAAAAAAATGAAGTATATTAAAAATACTGTTAACTTGGGATGATATTTGAGGAAAGAAATAGATTCTGAATCCATACATTTTCTATGCATCAATATTCTTTTGACAAAAGTTAAAATTTATATAGTTGGGAGGCAGAGATAGGAGGATCATGATTTAAAGCTAGCCCAGGCAAAAACTAGTCAGGTGTGGTAGCACATACTTCTCATCCCAGCTATGTGAGAACTGTAAACAGGAAAATCATGGTCAGGCCCAGGCAAAAACTGCAAGACCTATCCCCAAAATAACTAAAGAAAAACGGGCAGGGGGTATAGCTCAAGTGTTAGAGCAAGCACAAGCTGTGGTTCAATCCCCAGTATGAGAGAAAGAGAGAGAGAGAGAGAGAGACAGACACAGAGAGAGAGAGAGAGACAGAGAGACAGAGAGAAAGAGAGAAAGAAAGAAAGAGAGAGAGAGAAAGAAAGAAAGAGAGAAAGAAACATGCAAGTAAACTCCCTGTAGCTATCCTTATCTCAACTAGCAAAAACCTTTGGTCTTTCCTATTATTGCATATACTCTCTCTTCAACAAAATTAGAGATAAGGGCAAAATAGTTTCTGCCTGGTAGTGAGGGTGTGGGGATGGGGGTAGGAAGGGGATGGGGGTGGGGGGAAGGGGGGAGAAATGACCCAAAAATTGTATGCACATATGAATAAAAGAAATAAAAAAAAAAGAGAGAGAGAAAGAAAGAAAGGAAGGAAAGAAGAATAAGGCTCTACAGATAAGGCTCTACATTTGTCTTCACTGTGCTTGGCTTCTTAGCAGTATTTAACCTATTGAGAACTGTCCTTTTATTTTTTCCAATAAAGGATGATGATTATAAAGAAAGAAAGACTAAGAAAATGTCACAGGTTGAAGGAGAGCAAGGAGATGGTGACTAAATACAATATGGGATCCTGGATTTGATTCTGGACCAGAAAAAGGACATTAGTGGGAAAAACTGGCAAAATTCAAATTCTGTAACTAGATTAGTTCATAGTGTTGAATCAATGTTATTTTCCTGTGTTTGATAATTATGATGTGGTAATATCAGATGGGGACATTAGGGGAAGCTGGGTGGAGGATATAATGAACTTTGCAACTTTTCTGTGAGCATAAGTTATTTCAAAATAAAAAAGTTATAAACAAAAAGCTAGAAGGAGAAGTCAGAGAAAAGAATATAAATGATAGTGGACTTTTCAGCGAGACTATGAAGGCCAGCAAGCAGTGGAACATCTTTAAAAAACCCTGTCTACCTTGAAACTTATTTCTAAGAAATGTCATTAAAATGAGGGTGAAATAGTGAAAGCTGAGCACATTTGTTCATTAGTTGTGGAATTCAAGAAGTTCTTCAGGCTGGGCACAGTTGTTCATGCCTCTAATCTCAGCTACATGGAAGGCCATAGCTAGGAGGATCACAGTCTGAGGCCAGTCCTGGAGACCCTATCTAAAAACTAAGGGGAAAAAAAAAAGGGATGGGGCTGTGGCTCAATTGGTAGAGTGCCTGCCTAGGAAGTGTGAGGCCATGAGTTTAAACCCCATTACTGCCACTCCCCCCCAAAAACAACAACAACAAAAACAAGGTTTTTTAGGCTGAAGGAAAATGATTCCAGATAGAAACTTAGAACTAGAAGATGAAATGAATAGTACTGGAAATGATAAATATGTGGGTAAGCTTAAAAAACTCTCTTTTGGTCTCCTTATTTAATGTATTTGACAAATAACTGTTCAAAGCAAATCTAAAAATATTGTTGGGGGAGGGCGATATGGTCAGTATACTTTATATTTTTAAATGAAAATAGAACTTTGAAATCACTTGAAGTAGGGGGAGTGGAGTGAGGGAGAATGACGGTAGGAGTGGACCTTATAAAGGTACAATGTAAGCATATATGGAAATGTCACAATGAAACTCCTTGTACAACTAATATATGCTAATAAAAAGATTAAAAGAAAAAAATTCTGTTACTTTTTTTATTTATTTTTTTTTGAGACTGTGTCTTCCTATGTAGCCCAAGATGGTCTCGAACTTGAGATTCTCCTGCCTCTGCCTCCCAGGTACTGGGATTCTAGGTGTGCACCACTACATCTTGCTGTGAGCTACTGAGCATTTAGAAGTAAAATATAAGGTAATACTCACGTAGGGGATGGGTTTGTGTCAGTGGAATTGTGCAGGTATTATTCTAATACATTATGTGAAATGGTACAATACTAATTCAAGGTAGACGTGCATAAGTTGGGGGATGAATGTTGTCATCCCTAGAGAAAACACATGCATGCACACATGCACACACACACATACCTCATGAAGAGGTGTAGCTACAAAGTCAGGAGAGGAGAAAACGGTATTATTCCAAAGGAAACAGACACAGAGAAACAAAAAAGATGGAACAAATAAGATGGTAGATATAAACACATCAATTACTATACTAAATGTAAGTGAACTAACTCCTTTCTTTTTCTGGGTCTTGGCCTGGACTCACTTTGCACAGCTGTGACATGTTTGGCAGGACTTTAGCTAAGGCTGGGACTTAGTATATTTTCTGGGGTTGGTGACCACTTTGAGTGGTTGGTGCCAGCAGGGCTATGCTGAAGAGATATCTAGGTGGCTGGAGATTGGTTATGCACATGGGAATTGAAAAAATAAATAAATATATAGGCAGAGGTGTAAACAGACTGATCTGGATTTTGCTCCAGGACAATAACACTGTTGAAATGGCTTCTGGGCTAGAGGGCTTCTGCAGCCTGGTGAGGCAGATGGAGCTGAAGTCTCAAAGGCCTGGCCAGAGAGCCCAGCCATCCCTTGTGGGGCTGGCTTTTCTCCTGTCTCCTTGTGAATTGCTTATGCCATTTCTGCTGGTGTGTGCAACTATTAAGGTGTATCCTGGTGTTCCAGAGATCTGAGGAGGAAATGCCCACCTCTGCAGAGAATGGGGCTGGAGGAGGGGAACATCAGACAAGATCACAATGGTAGAGATGACATCTGAGATGTTTTGAAAGACAAGTGGAATTTTCCAAGTGGAAAAAGGAAGGAAGATCAGTCACACAGAAAGGCATGGAATGTTTGGGAGTGACAAGTATTTCTTGGGTTATAAGGGTGGGTGATGGGTCAGGGTCAGTTGTCAGGCCTCAGGGAAGCCCACGAGTTGAAGAGACCTTTAGTTCTCTCTGAGCTGAGGCCTCTGGCCTTGCTTGTATTACCATCAGAGCTACCTATCGGGAAGGTTGCACTGGCCCAGCCACTTCCTTGTGCCCTCCTACTCACAGTCCCCCAGTCTGGGGAAGACCCAAGTATCGAGAGGAAGGACTGGGATGAGGGGTGTGGGGGTTAGCAGACAGGTGACCTTTGAGGAAAATACCATAAAGCTCCAAAACCTGTGAGTTTGAGTCTGTAGGTAATACAGTGACTGTCACCTGAAACATTTATCAGACACCTGCTACATGCAAGCAAGCATTTGAAGAGAGAAGCCCTTCACAGATCTGTGACTGCTTACACAAATCTGAGATATGGTCTTTTGTTCAAGAGGCTTACAGTCTGCAGGAAAACCAAACGAGCCCAAGGGGAGGAAAATCAGTAAATTATTACGGACTGAACCAGTGCAGATGCTTTCAGTTAAATGAATGAAAACGTGAATGAATGAAAACTCTGGAAGTGCCCTAGAAATCCAAGTAGAACAGCTCCGTGGATGTTCCCCAAAGAGGCAGGACTGGAAGGCTTCCAGAGAGAGGCCACAGGCTCCAGGTCTTTCTGAGCATACGGATCCCAGGGACGGACCCCTGGGACCAGGATGCACTCACGACCCTCTCGCGGCGCAGCCTAGCGGAGCGAGTGGCAGGCGGGTCCCCGTGGGCGGAGGCGAGGCCTGGAGAGAGGAGCCGCGGTTTCCCACCGCCGTCTCTCAGGCGCAGGGTCCAGAAAAGGGCCGGAGGGGAGGAAGCGGGAGGCGGCGGCGGCCCGCCCCTTTGCGTCCCACCCACCGCGTCCCCTCCCCGCCGGCTGCGGGAAAAACGGCCGCGGGCTCCCGGGCTCTCTGTGGGGCGGGCAGAGCGCGGCGGGCGGCGGAGGAGATGCGGGAGCGGCGGCCACTTCGGCCGCTCTGGGCCGCTCTGCTGGCGCTGGGGGCGCTGGCGGGCGTCGGCGTCGCAGGTGAGTGGGGCTCCCGCGCCCCGGGCGGAGGCTCTTCTGGGACCCGCGCAGCCACCTAATCTGCAGACCCAGGCGGGTTAGTCCTGGTCTTTGGCAGCTAGCTGGTCCTGGCTGGGGCTATAGGATCCCAGAGCTGGAGACCTTCCTGGCCCTGCGCTGGCAGGGCTGAGGGGCGCCTGGTCCTCCCGCAGTCAGGTCGGGCACCTTGCCGGGTGGCCTCTGCGCGCCCTGCGTCAGGGGGCATCTCTGAGCCCCGTGATCACTTGGGGCCGCGCGCGTCGCGGGTGGTGGAGATCGCTATCTGACCCGGGTAGCAGAGGCCAGATGGCGCTTCTTCAGACTGTTCCCGCGCGCACAGGCAGAGGGATGCGCTCGTCCCTTCCCAGTGGGTGAGAGTGCATGGTTGCGCTGGTTTGTCATTTTACTTTACATTCCTCTTCGTGTGTTGCATTTTTTCCCCCAAGTTTTTTTTTTTTTTCCTTTTAATTTGGCGGCTACCCTCATGGGCGTTTTAGAGCAGAATAAGGGCGCTGCCCTTTCCACTGTCACCCGGTGGCAGCCGTGCCTCTGCTTCTGGGGACAGACCTGTAAGTCTATAGTATGTGCAGGAGCCACGACAGGGGTTCCTTGGTCTGGTTCTGTTTCTCCTGCTGCTAACGCACCCCGTGAGGTTCTAGGGCGATCGGCATTCGGTCTCACTGGTGCTGGGGAGGTCAGGGAGCGGTCCTGGAGGAGCCCCTTCCCTCGCTTGAGGTGGGGAAACACTGCCCGGTTCGCAGAGGACATACGAGAGTGTGAACATGTACTTTAAAAGGATACAGTACTACTCGTAAAACAAGTCAGACCCTGTGTATAGGATTTTTTTTTAAAAAGGTAATTTTTATTTATTTATTTATTTATTATTCATATGTGCATACAATGCTTGGGTCATTTCTCCCACCTGCCCCCACCCCCTCCCTTACCACCCACTCTGCCCCCTCCCTCTCCCCCCCACCCCCTCAATACCCAGCAGAAACTATTTTGCCCTTATCTCTAATTTTGTTGAAGAGAGAGTATAAGCAATAATGGGAAGGAACAAGGGTTTTTGCTGGTTGAGATAAGGATAGCTATACAGGGAGTTGACTCACATTAATTTCCTGTGCATGTGTGTTACCTTCTAGGTTAATTCTTCTTGATCTAACCTTTTCTCTACTTCCTGGTCCCCCTCTCCTATTGGCCTCAGTTGCTTTTAAGGTATCTGCTTTAGTTTCTCTGAGTTGAGGATAACAAATGCTAGCTAATATTTTAGTTACCTATCCTCATATCTCCCTTATGTGCTCTCGCTTTTATCTTGTAATCAAAGTTCAATCACCTTGTTGTGTTTGCCCTTGATCTAATGTCTGCATATGAGGGAGAACATATGATTTTTGGTCTTTTGGGCCAGGCTAACCTCACTCAGAATGATGTTCTCCATTTCCATACATTTACCTGCGAATGGTAACATTTCATTCTTCTTCATGGCTGCATAAAATTCCATTGTATAGATACCACATTTTCTTGATCCATTCATCAGTAGTGGGGCATCTTGGCTGTTTCCATAACTTGGCTATTGTGAATAGTGCTGCAATAAACACGAGTGTGTAGCTGCCTCTGGAGTAACCTGTGTCACAGTCTTTTGGTATATCCCCAAGAGTGGTATTGCTGGATCATATGGTAGATCAATGTTTAGCTTTTTAAGTAGCCTCCAAATTCTTTTCCAGAGTGGTTGTACTAGTTTACATTCCCACCAACAGTGTAAGAGGGTTCCTTAAAAAAAAAAGTTGATTTCAAGGATAAAATATTCGAAAATACTTTGATGACTGTCTTCAGGACTCCTCTCTGTAGGTGTAGATGTATGTAGATACTGGACAGGGCAAGGATGTGTCAGTGGAGGATCCTGGTTGTCCTGTAGCAGGACTGTGTAAGCCTTTGTTGAAGCTTTCATGTGATAGAGGCAAAACCAGGTCAAATGCGCCTTAGCCTGCAGGGAGCAGCCTGAGGACCACTGACCAGCTCAGCATCTCCAGCATTCTGCCTGGAGGTGTTAGATACTTGTTTGGCTGCTGCTGGCTGTTGATTGGGAAATAGAGAAATCCACAGGACACTTCCGTTGTCTCCTCCAGATATGCCTGCTTTCATGAACTTAAAATGCTTTTAAATTTACTACTAAATTTTTAACTGACACATGATAATTGTACATGCTTATGGTGTGCAATGTGATAATTCATACGTGTATGTAACGTGTAATGATCACATCAGGATAATGTACATTTATTTCTTTTTAAAAACATTTTTATTAGCATACATTAGTTGAACAGGGGGTGTTCACTGTGACTTATAATTGTATGTGCTTACAATATACCTCGATTAGATTTACCCCCTCCATCATACTGCATTTATTTCTTTGTGTTGGGAACCTGTTACTTTGAGCTGTGTAATGTATTTAAAACATTTTGTGATTTCATTAATATATATATATTTTACATCCACAGCTTTCTAAATTCACTTCGGAGGATGATCATTATATTTCCTTGCAGTTTTAGAAGAAAGTAAGGGGATAACGTAAGACAGTGCCTAGTATAGTGCTTTGCTCAGTGTTAGGGAAGAGGGTGTCCTTCCCTCTCCCCTGCTTCTCACTAACCCCAAGACAGCTCATGTTGGTCTGTTCACACAGTTGTAATGATCCATTTAGGACCACATTGCTTGCCATACCTGTCTCCATTAAAGATCCTTTAGGATATTCATTCGCAGATTCATGGTTGTGATTGGAGCTATCTAGAAGTGGTGCTGTGCTGAGCTACACTCTCTGTGAGGCAGGGTAGAGTAGTGTTTATTGCAGGGGCTCTAGAGTCAGCCTTCCAGAGTACTAAGCCCCCTGTAAAAGCAATTCCCCAGTGTAGTGGCAGAGTTGCAGGTATCACTAAATCCCTGGGGAAGTAGATGGTGGAATGGCAGTGGGACATTTGTGTCCTACACACAGTATCAAAGGGACACAAAGAGAGCAGGGTAGGAGTGACCTAGAGAGGCTATATCAGAGTAGAAGATTCTGGTATGGGGAGAAGAGAGGTTGTCTGAGGACAGCATCAAGTTTCAGATTTTTATCTACAAAGATGAATGTTTTAGCTTCACCTAAGAAGTATTGGGTTTTGTGACTTCCCCATTTTTATTGTAACCTAGGAGTTCTGAGCTGAGCTGCTTATTTCTCTTCTGAAGTTTGTATTCCTTTTCAGGAACCCTTGGGGCCTGGAGAGACATGGAGAAAAGGAGCCTGGGGAAAGGGGCAGCTATGATTTAAGCCAGTAAGATGTAGGGTTGATTCTTGACTTTGTCTCTTATTGACTGTGTGACCTTAGGAAATTACCTAACCTCTTAGGTCCTCTATGACCATGCAGATTAAATGAGACAAAGGTACAAAATAGGTATTCAATAAGTGACAACTCCTGTTGTCATCGTTCTTCCTATCCACGGTTTCTACTATGTATCCAAAGCAAGAGCTGTTATCACTTTATGCATGAGTGCCATCCAGGCTCCCAGCATGAGACTGATGGGGTCATTTTCTCACACCTATGTGAGAGGGGTCCCTCTTATTTCAATACATTCCTCTTTGGTGGCTTTGTATATCTCAGCCCCTCTGGTATAACAAAAATCCACAGACACGGCCAAGGAGAGGAGAGGTCCATACATTTGCTTTTTTCCATGAGGAAATCTCAAGTCCTGTCTCTCGGAAGAGAGGCAAGTAAGAGGCATCTGTAAGACTTTAATCTCCATGAGGAGAGGGACATGTCTACTTCGCTCAGTGCATGGTACATAGGCAGCAAAATAAATACTGTATGTATAGGATGCCATGGGGCACATTCTCTCTAGAATTCATGGGCGTTCTGGACTGTTTTTTGTTCTTTTGGTGTGGGTGATTGGACCCAGGGTCTTGTACATGGTAAGCACTCTACTTCTACCACTGAGCTACACCCTCAGCTGTGAAGCCTGTTAATAAGTAGCTGAGACTGTGAGTTCTTTAGGCCTTTGCACCTGTGTATCGTTGCATCATTTTAACTTCCAATTTGAGGGTGCTGGAAATTCAGCAAACACACTTCACTCTGTGAAGTGTCTGCCTTTTTTCCTTTCCTAGACAGAGCTATTAGGAGGGCAACCTCTTTTATGTCCTTGACACTTGTGAGTGTAAGGGCAAAGGTGAGATGTGGTAGAGGTCTCCCTGACAACCATAAAATGGGAGAAGGAGGTGACAGGATGAGAAGGGGAACTGGTGATGATTCTAGAATTCCCTGATAGAAATTCTTCCTCCACGACTCCCCACCCTGTTCAAGATCTCTGGTTATCATCCCCTTCCAGCCCCAGGAATCCTGCCCTTGTTGGCAGGAATGGCCCGGAAGCATGGCCACAGGAACCATAAGTCATGAATCAGCAGACAGATAATTAACTGGGGAGTGACTGAGCAGTTTCAGGGATAAACCGCTTGACTTAGCCCCGCTGATCTACTGCCCACAGAGTGGCCTGCTGCTTTGCCCCATTGCTTTTTCCTCCCTACTCCTGAACCTTGGCCCTTCCTGAGAGGCAAGAGCCATGTGCCTGCTGCAGCTCAGGTCACCAGTGGAAATCAATGAGAAATCAGGGAAATGACACCATTTAGGGAAACTGCCTTTTCTGTCTATGTAAACTACTAGTGTTATTGAAACTTCAGATTCTCTAAAAATGATTAATTCTACCTTTCTGTTCATGCACACAGTATCCCCAGAAATATTCCTTTAAAAAAGAAGCTAGGATCATTGAGGTATAATTTACATACCACAGAAATCACCCTTTTTAGAATGCAGTTCTATGAACTTTGACAAATGCATAAAGTCAACTAACCACCACTATCATCAAGACACAGAATATTTTTTTTTCACTCAAAAAAGATCTCTCCAGTTCTTTTGCATTAGGTTCCTTATTTCCACCCCTTGTCCCTGATAGTCACTGTTTCCTGT